ATGTGGAATGGAGAGTTTGCTCCTGTGGAGCACTCCAAATCCCAAAGTGGAGTGGAGAGTCTGCTCCTGTGGAGTGCTCCAAATCCCAAAGTGGGATGGAGAGTTTGCTCCTGTGGAGCGCTCCAAATCCCAGATTGGAATGGAGAGTTTGCTCCTGTGGAGCACTCCAAATCCCAGATTGGAATGGAGAGTTTGCTCCTGTGGAGCGCTCCAAATTCACCCTGCTGTTGACTCTGGTGTGCCCAACAAACTTTGCAGCCAGCCAAGAGACAGGCAAGGAGGTGAGGCATGTTTGCCGTCGGTGCAGTGGCATTCCCACCTTTCTGAGGCCACCACTGCCCTGGGAGTGTGGGAGCCCAGCCCCACGTGGGAGTGCTCTGTCCCTTTTGCCAGCTGCTCTTGCAGGGCTGCATTTCCCACCTGCAGCTCTTTGTTAAGCACGAGGCATTAACATAATCCAATTCACATGTTGTCACATTAATATTTTCTGAAAAATCACTTCGCCCAGGATTTTTCTCCTGTGAAGCTGAGAAGCCTCAGAGAAAAAGGAAAACAATTCTTATCTCATTTGCTTCTCCTGTGTTTGCTGCTTTGGAATGTGTTTGGAGATGGTGTCATGTTAGGTGATTGTTTCACTGGTGTCATGTGAATTGTTTTGACTTTTTGGCCAACAAGTGCCAAGCTGTGTTGGGACTCTGGAGAGAGTCACGAGTTTCATTATTATCTTTTTAGCCTTCTGTAAGTATCCTTGCTGTATTCTTTAGTATAGTATAGTTTAGTATTCTTTAATAAAATATAGTATCACAAACCAATAAATTAGCCTTCTGAGAACATGGAGTCAGATTCATCCTTCCTTCCAACACGAGGACGCCCTGCAAATACAATAAGACATGACAAAAATTATTGTCCCTCTGCCAAGGCATCTCCAGAACTGAAAACTGTCATTCCCAAAGAAAGGGTCACAGCCTTAAGTGGGGCTGCAAGATTAACAGCACCATAATAATTTATACTAATAAAGTGAGGCTGATGGAAGTGGGGTTCACTGCCAGCAACAAGCTGAGGAGATTTTCCTGGGTCTTTCTAAACTGTTCTGAGCAGGAGCACTTGTGCTCCAAATCCTTTCCTTTCTCTAATCCTGTGTAAGAACCTAGTGAGGCTTTTTTAGGAGGGTGGGAAAATTAATATTTTCAAACATATTCTATTTATTTCTGTCTCTGAGCGTTAAATTGTAATTCAGATTAATGTTTTCTTCATTTCCTGTGATAAATATGGGAGTTATTAGGAAAAAAAAAAAAAAGATCTGTAGGCTCCTAATTGGTTTCCAATGATTCATCCAGCAGCACATGTATAAATAGGAAAAAAGGGGAGGGGGAGAAGTCAGCAAGAGAGAGGAAAGTCTTCAATAAATACAACTGTCATTTTAACCAGTGGGCAAAACATTTCTGTGGTACTTAACTGATACTATTTTTTTGGTGAAATAAATTTTTCAGCCTGCTTCCTACCCTCTAGTGTGGAATCCTTAGTACATTTTTAAGTTAAACAGTATTGTTCCCTCTTGAATTCTGAACAGTGGCTACAGAACATTATTTGCAGACATGCAACTGGGATTTGTTCTCTCTTTGACTTCTCTGTTCAACATTCATGGCATAGAGCACAAGGAGAGCAGATGTAATTCACCACTTCAATTTTTAGATTGGTATCTTCAGTAGTGCTGGTGTTCAGGTGTTCCCTTGTGCAAAGAGGGAGTCAAGGTGACCATTGCAACTGCCAGAGGTCTTGTGGTAAATCCTGAGCTGAAGGAAGCTCCTGGAATGCACAGACATCACCTTTGGTTGCAGCTGCAGATGCATTCAGGTCTCTGTGATGTACTTGAAATTAAACCTCTGTTGTCTTTCAATAAAATTAAGAGCCCTGAAGTAAATTGCAGCATGATATGAGTATTAACACCCTTTTTTTAGACTACATCTCACCAGTTTTCTGTCATACACTGCATTCTTAATCACTGCCAACTCACTATATTTTCCTTCTCAGTGAGGAATGCTGATGTTATGCAATGTTACTATGTAGATCATCCTCTGGTTTTTCTACACCTATTTTGAGAAAATGCTTCTGAGTAAAACTTCATTTTTGGCCAAGTCTTCCCCAGCAGATAACATTTTGTCTATATTTATGTGACATGGTTTTATGCTTCATGGTTTTGGCAGGTGGAGGAATGCTATTTTTCCCATTTTTCATATGGTGAAGAATGTACAGAGTCTAGTTTAGCACAGCAACCACAGAGGGTCTGATTTGTTTTCCTAACACGTGTGTCACATATAAAAAGCAATGTCCTTGCACTGTGGTTGTTAATAACTGGCTGCTCCAGATGGATTTGTGCCAACACAGAATCCACCACCACAATTAGCAGTAGTAGGAACTTCAGCTGGCAGCAGCAGAGAAAGCAGGAAAGATTAAATGACTGTGTGAATTGTCTCTCCAAATTAAAACTGATGTGCATTGGCAAAAAATAAGAAAACTTACACATTTCCCCTTCTATACTGTTCTATTTGGGTAATAATTAGGGAAAATGTTGCTGTCTGGGACTCATTATTTTTCACATGACAGAGTCATCCATTAATGACAAGAATCTGAGTAACCACACCAGTAAAACATCTCAAATTACAAGAACTTATAGATGACTTTCAGATGTTTGAGGATACAGATAATCTTTTGAATAAATTTGATTTTTAGAGACATTTTTTAGCCTGTTTCTGGATTTTATCTAGTGCTGCATGTGTACTTCCAAAAAGTCTGCTTGGAAATTCCACTAAATTGAATCCAATTTTTTTTTTTTTTCTGGGCAAAATATCTTCCAGGAGCTTCAAAATCTCTGCAAAATAGGACTCATAATAATACTTCTAGAGCACAGAATATGATCTTGGTCTAGAGCAGATTATTGTCAGAGCTGTAACAACAACAAACCTTCCCCTTCTCAAGACCCATGGCTGAATTATGCTAATACCTGTACAAAGAAATCTATGAAAAAAATTACTACAATAAGGATTTGAATAAGTATTTTATTGTACAATATTAACTGACAGAAAATGTTTTAGACTAGCCCATGTTTCTTTAGAGTGGCTCACAGTTTATTGTCTCACAGTGTCCTATATGTCATATGTCCAAAATACGAATTCTCTTCTACAGTTTAAATGAGCCACTAGGAACGTGCTAGAGCTCCTCAGAAATATCTTAGGTTTAGGAATTGGCCTAAACCGACCTTTGAGTTCAAGAACAGCAAAAACCATCTGATTTCTATTGCAGTGTGCAAAAATCACAGCTGGCAACCACAGCCTTGAAGAGGTTTTGCAGCTGCAGTGGTGCAACACCTCATTGTCACTTTGTGAAATGCCCAATCTTACACTCTGGGTGTGCATCCCGTTCCTGGATTTATTATGGACAGGATTTCATCCCATAAATCAATCAGACAGCTCAGCCCTTTCCTGGTCACTGGGAAAGAAAGGGCAACCAGAAGACTGAGGCTTTGCCAACTCATTGCAGTTTTGCATTAACCTTGGCCTGAGTAGGGATGTGCCAAATCTGGGCACTCTGGCTCTAGAATTGTCAGGATCAGAGTAATTGCTTTGGTGCTGACATTAAAAGCTGCCATGTACAGAGATGCCTGGTGCCATACTCTGACATTGGTCAGGTGTCCCAAAATGTATAATAATAGATATATAATAGATAATGATAGGTATGTAACAGAAAATAGCTTGCCAGGAAGCAAGGCTAGTGGAAAAATAAAGCCAAATCCAATTAAAGTGTCTGCTCATGCAAAGGTTAGCTTTGACTGCAGGACAGAATCATTCACTGCAGACCCCTCAGAACACAAAGTCCACACTTCACAAGAAATGTGACCTGCTGGCAGCAGCACAAGCTCAACTGGGTGCGTAACCAGCCAGGCTCACCAGCAGCACAGCAGGAGCTGCTAATTTGCTAATTCTTACATTCCCCATGGGAATTCCTGCACTGCTCCCTGAGGAGTGCCTGAGCACTGGGATAACTCCACGGAGAGTTGTTTCCCCAGCTCTGGAGGCCAAGGCAAGCTGTGAGACCTGAGGAAGCCTCCCAGAGCTTTGGGAAAGCTCAGCCCCTCTAAAACCATGGACAAACTGGGCCCCCAGGCAGCTGGAACAATCTCTGATGAACTGAACTGAGGCAGGGACAGTGGAAAGAGACAGAGGAATGTGTGTTTTATGGGTTTTGAGAACAGAGTTTGTGGATTATTTTTAAGAGAATGTATCCTGTGAAGTGGAAGTTATGAACAAAATTATTTAAGTCCCAGTTCTTGCACTGCAATGTGTTTGGTTTTAACTTCATTAATAGCAAACAGGGAAAAATCATGGAAAAACACCGATTATAACACACTAAATTGCCAAAAGGCAGGAATGAAGGCCGCTGTACACAACTGAATCCTACAACTCCTTCAAACACCTTTGCCAGCCTGCTTTGAACTTCTTGAAACCACTGGAAATTATCTACAGGAGTGAGAGCAGATTGGACAATTATACTGCTGCCAAAAAGGAAAAAAACAACCTCCTGCCTTTGCTTATTGGCTCTAAACACAAGACCTTCAAGGCAGGAGAGGACTTCAAACATTCCAGGGCTCAATTTATCGATATAAATACAGCACATCAATCTCACTAAAGGCAGTATATAAAGCCCTGCTCCTGCTAGAGCTGATGAGAACCAGGTTGAGGAAGAACAATAATATGAAAGGTCGGGGGCTCCCTTCCCAAGAAGGGCTGTTGAAGTAGAGTGTTCATAAAAGCAGGGTTTACTTCTTAAAGAAACTCTCTATTAAAGAAAAGGACAGAGGATTTTCCCAATCCATCTTGCTCCAGGACTCTATAACATGTAAATCTTCAGTCTGTGTATAACATTTTTTACAGTGGGAAAAGGTCAGTATAAAAATACTGCCTTCTCATTCTTTATCCACACTATGAGAAAAGCACAGTTCATTATAACAGGAAATAATATTTTATTATAAAATCTGCATGTAAACAAGTTACCAATTAATTGAATAACAGTTAATGGAAGTGCAAATTAACTTAATAAAATGATATCTGTTCGGTATTTAAATATATATATAATTTGTTTTCTCCCATTCTACTGTGGTTCTACTCCACCCTCCCCACATTTAAGTTTAAAAAGATTTATCATTGCTTGCTTTATACTAAAAAGAGTGTACGAGCCTGCGTACAAGTTAAAGTTTTGCTCTGCAAACGAGACAAGTCTATGGTGACAGTTATCCTTTCTTATCTTTGCATCTCTGGTATCCACAAGACAAGAAGATATAGCACATATGTACACAGTGGGCATGTCAAGCCTCATATTTCAAGTTAGTTCATTTACTTGCACACACTGAAACTTAAACCATTTATCAATGAAGCACTGTAGTGTAACTTCCAGACTTGCTTGAGCACCTTAAGGCATTAAGGAGAGTCTCAGTGGAAAAGCCATGGCCGTTCCCACCACGAGGATCATCCATCCGCACGCTGCTGAGCGGCCAGGGGCTCGCTCGTCCCGCGTGCAACGCCCGCCCTCACCGAGAGCTCCTATAGCACGGACAGGTCGTGGCAAGACTTGGATTTTGCTTTGAAAGCCATCTTCTTGTTGTTCTTGGCCACAATTCTGCCAAGGAACCGCTTGGCCTTTTTGCTGATGCTCTCCCTCCTCTTGGCGTTGGCCATCCTGCGGGCGTTGTCCTCCTTGCTGTCCTTGCGCAGCCGGATCTGCCGCACGATGCCCTCGAACAGGTCCTTCACGTTGTGGTGCAGAGCAGCTGAGGTCTCGATGAACTTGCAGTCGAACACCACGGCGCAGGCCCGGCCCTCTGCACAGAGAGACAAAGAGGAAGATAAGTGGAGACGTTTCACACCACTGTCAGAAGAACAAAACAGGAACTGGCTCTAAGTAAGCAAAGTGCCTTCAATGCCATGAAAGAGCTTTACTACAAAATAGGAAAACCCAAATTTGCTCTTCATGGTTTTGGTCCTTTACTCTCCTTGGTTTTGTTGTGCTGTGGTCAGAAATCTCATCTGATCAATGGAACTGACTACATGGCAGCAGTGTCCTTCAGGCAGACTGTGCCTGTACTCTTTAAGAGCTAAAGCTGATTTAGCAGAGGCCTGGGAAGCAGGCTTGCTGTTTGATGTGGAATAGTGAGTGCTGTGAGTGTCCTGCTTTTGCATTAAACTGACCTTGGGTAAAGACCCCCTACAGTGATGTACAGAAAGAAATGGGCTTTATTCTGGAAGCTTTGGGCAATTCTGCACCTCTGCCTTGCTGTAACCAGTGAGTTCTCCACACCAATAGAAGTGGAGCTGATGATACAGGCCACAAGGTCAAGTCATTGAACACATCAGTAGAGGTCACAAAGCTGTGCACCACTGACTCTTACTAGGGCTGAATTTGAAATAAAAGATGTTCAGTGTTCTGGACATAAGCACTTAACCCTGGAACATTGCTGCAGCACGAATTTCCACAGTCAGCTGTGGTAAATAATGGCAGAGTTGTAAACCTGAGGAAAGTACAGATGTCAGAACTAGGACAGGTCATCCATGCCCTGCTCCAACCTGAAAAAGTAATCTCCTGATGAACTCCAGTCAATTCCCTGAGCAGGAATTTAACACTGGGAGCATGGCAAACCAGATAGGGAGAGATGGTTCATCATCAAGGCACCAATATTTCAGAGTATTCTTTCCAGTGGAAGACAAAAACCCACCCCAAAACAAAACAAAACCCAGCCAAATAAAAAACCTCACAAAATGTTTAAATAACCAGAATCAAGACTGTGGTGTTGGCATTGGTTCCTGTGCTCCAGGTACCCAAATGCCAGCTGGAGCTGGCTGAGAGGATTTTCACTGATCACGGCTGAAGAACACAAAAAGACTTTTGTGCTGTGTGAGCCTGGTCCCACCAGCCCAGCTCAAATGTGGGGGAGTCACCTCCAGCAGAAAGGGTTGCACAGGCTGTATGGGATCCCCTGTCCTGAGGCTGCCTGGATCTGTGACATGGCACTGCGTCCCCTAAAGAGCACAGCTCAGACCGTCACAGCTCAGACTGTCACAGCTCAGACTGTCACAGCCTGAGCCTGGCAAGTGCTGCTGCACATGTACCATACAAATAAAGCCTGCCTTTAGTAGTCCTGTGCTGAAGCTGCAGCTCTGATGCATTTTTCTGTCCCACTGCAGCTCAGAGCTCTGCACAGCCACACATCTTCCCCCACACTCATCGCCAGTGTTTTCTGTGGTACCAAGCCCTTCAGCACCAGGCAGCTGGCTCCACTTCCCCAGTGATCCTCAAATCACACATTTTTCTACACCAAACCCAGACCATTCCTATTGGCCATGATCTTGCACAGCCTTTGCTACTGCTTTAGACAGCACTTGCAAAATTCAGTGTCTCTTACCATCAACTGAGACCTCCCGGGACCTGACCAGGTCACTTTTATTTCCCACAAGGATAATAGGAATATCCTCTGTCTGCCTTGCTCTTCTCAGCTGGATTCTTAGTTCAGAAGCCTTCTCAAAACTAACTTTGTCAGTCACTGAGTAGACAATAATATAGGCATCTCCCATTTTCATGCAGTGGTTCTGGAGCCATTGGCTGTCATCCTGAAACAACAGACAGGGAATGGATTTATTGTGCTGAAAAATCTATTCAACGCTGAGTGATGATTTATTACTCTAAGCACCTTAAAGATTCTTTTCTTAGCTTTTTTATAAAAAGTCAGTAAAAGTAAGCCAATCTTCCCAAAATTTCAAATATTTTGTTATTCAAAATACAAAACAAAAGAAATTTCTCTTGTTCCCAGAAATAATATCAGGTCTGCACTGATCAGATTGACAATCTCTAATTTTACAGTAATTCCCTGGGCTGCTCATGTAAGAGAGCAATTATTCAAAGCATTAAGAGAGTCTCACTCAGCTCTTTTCAGGGTTTTAAACTGCCTGCCTAGCTACAAGAAATTAATTGCAGAGAGAACAAAAGGCAGTATGAATTCTAATTTTTTAATGTCACTTATCTGATTGAACAAATAGGCATAGTTGTTCTATTTCTACTTTTTTTTTTTTCTTAAGAGAACTACAGACCAAGCTATAAAGCAAAAGCATGAGGAAAAAGTTGTAAGTACCTGCTCCCATATATCAAACACCACGAGAGACGCTTCTTCTCCATCAACTATAATTGATCTGTCGTACGTATTTCCTACGGAAAATCAAAAAATTAAAAAGGAGTTCAGCAAAAGAACTTATCCGCCTCCATCCCTGCCGGTGGCCGTAGGGGAGGCTCCGAGCCGGGGGTCCCCGGCACCTCCGAGCCCGCTGTGCCCTCACCGGCCTCCTCGGCGTCCGCGCAGTCCTCCACGCCGCCGAAGATGCGCGCCAGGCTGGTCTTGCCGACGCCGTGCTCGCCCAGCAGGATCACCTTGTAGAGGCTGCCGTCGGAATCGCTGCCCGAGGAGATGACGGAGTCGGAGGAGTCGGAGGCCCAGCTCTGGCGGTGCTCGCCGCCGGGGCTGTACGAGGTGCAGCGCACCAAGCCCGACAGCTCGTCGGGCGGCAGCGGCCGCAGGTCGCGCTCGTCCACGGGCATGCTGCGGCGGTGCAGGTGCTGCTGCGCCGCGAACGGCGTGCTGCCGCGCCGCTTGTCGCCGCGGTTCAGAGTCATCGGGCTGCGGGCACAGGCGGGGCCGTCAGCGCCCGCTGCCCCGCACAGCCCCGGCCCCGCACAGCCCCTGTCCTCCTGTCCCGCACAGCCCCGGCCCCGCACAGCTCCTGTCCTCCTGTCCTGCACAGCCCCGGCCCCGCACAGCCCCTGTCCTCCTGTCCCGCACAGCCCCAGCCTCGAACAGCCCCGGCCCCGCACAGCTCCTGTCCCGCACAGCCCCTTCCCCTCTCTCGCACAGCCCCGGCCCCGCACAGCCCCGGCCCCGCAGCCGCGCTTACCTCGGGGCGCTGCGCGGAGCGAGGGCGCGGTGAGAGATCGGTGAGAGATCAGTGAGGGATCGGTGAGGGATTCCCCGGTAGCCGCCGCGGGAGCTCCCCGAGCTCTGCTGCCGCCACCGCGCCCCGCGCCGCTCTTTATATGCCGGTGGAGGCGCGGGCCCTCCCCGCCGTGACGCTCGGCGGGCGCTCCGCCAGCGCATCCTCGGCAGCGCCACCGCCCCCGCGGGCCCCGCCGCGCTGCGCGGGGGCGGCGGCGGCGCGGGGAGCCCGGGAGGAGGCGGGAGCCCCCCGGGGGTGGGGGGAGGCACGATCCGCTCCTCTCCGCTCCGCTCCGCTGTCAGCGCGGGGGTCCCGCCCGTCGGCGCGGCTCGGCCGGCAGCGATCGCGGGGGGAGGCGAGGGCCGGCCCCGGGGGGCGGCTGTGCAAACCGTGGGGCTGCCGGGCTCGGGCTCACCGCCCGGCCCTGCCCGGCCCTGCCCCGCCGGCCCGTGCTCCCCTCCCGCTGTCCCCCGCGCAATGCCCGCACCATTTGCTGTGTGTGCCCCTCGTGTCCCCTCCCAGCCCGTGTGAGAGCGCATGGAGCGCACAGGGAGCTTCCCTCGGTTCCGTCACGGGCAGTGCTGGGGGCAATAGCCGCGCTCTCCGCATCCCCCGCGCCGGCTCTCCCCGCGCTCGGAGCGCTGCCCGTGCCGGGGTCGCGCACACACGGCCGTGCCGCGGCCCCACGTGCGGGGTGAGCCCAGCAGCGACACAAAGGTCAAATTCTCCTCTCGCTTTCACCTGAGCAGCAAAGCGAGACTCTGAAAGTCTTATCTCATGAGTGGCACAGTCATGAGCATGTGATCGGGTGAAGAAAGGACTCAGCAGATAACTATACTCGTCTCCTGCATGGCTCACCCTGCGCCGTGTATACAGTTTGCTGTTTACCTAGCAACCGAAACATGTCAGACATCGTACGGCCAAAATAGCCCCGGCCTCTGCTCCCGAAAGATTACAGCGGAGCGGGAAAATCCCGGTGACTCTGGACAGCAACGGGATCTGCCATCAAATTCCTGTCAGTTTTAGGTTTCCAAATCAGCGGCAGAAACAAGGTTAAAGACGGCAAGAGGCAGGGAGGTGATGGAAACCAAGTTAGAGATGTAGGGAGTAAAGTAAGGGAAAGAAAGCTCTGTGGGATGGGGCTAAGTGGGTGAATATCCTGTTATTTTCAGGAGCCAATTATAATTCTCCAGTCCACACTACTGGGGTGGTTTTGGCCGCTTCTCGCTGATAAACTGCAGTTGGGAGTGTTAATGTGGTAGTTAAAGACCATCAAGTGCTTGCAGCAAGTTGTCCCTGCCTGTCTCACAAAACAGCAACCAAAATAGCCTTGTCAGTTCAAACAGACAGAGTTTGGTGGCAAAACGTGCGTGCTTCAGCTAGCAGAGCTGAGTTAGAAACCTCTGGCTAGCGTTTGGAACCATATGTTAAATAAATTATGGGTGGTATTGGAGCTACACTGTGGGTGCTTCTTTTGGATAAACTGGAATCTGCTAAACCACCTTATCATTCTGAATTTATAGACAATTAATTTTGCAAATACACTTCTAGATATGGCTGGTCTTCAGCTGACTTCCTTAAAATTTGGGTTTTTCCTGCCTAACATTGTCACCTGAAACTATTCTCAGGGAGTTTTTATGTCTTTTGCACCAGACTTTGTTGCATACCTTGACTGTGTGTCAGGGTCACACTTCAGAAGATGACAAATGAACTGGGGGTTTTTAATTATTTTCTGCGTGAAAAAAAAGAGAAATCTGAGAAGCAACAGAACCAAAGAGAGTGCCACTTCTGTGCCACATAGAGCACTATTGGACTGGAAACGCACTAAAAATGGGAATTTCATCGACACATCTTAAAGAAGCTACATTTTATCCCAAGCTTTTTGCTGATGAGAATTATGGGTATTTTAATGATGTAAATGTGAGACAGATCACTTGCAGGAAAACTATCAGGAAAGGCATATGTCCAAATGATGAATAAAAACCTTCAGTGTTTCAGTAGGAAAAGGGACTGAAAATAAAATTATACCCAGTAGAAATCATACAGAAAATTCAGGATTCCATGGCAAACACTGGGGTATCTTGCCAGCACCCAGGTACAAGTAATGAATTAACTTAGGTTATAGAATACCCCCATGGTCACAGGATCCTGCCCAGGACCTGGAGCTGGGTTCTTGGAGTGTCCTTTACTGGAAAGTGAGATGTCCTGGTGTTGTGCTCATTCCTGGAGGGACGAGCAGCTCAGTGCCAAGGCTGTTCCTGCTGCCCTCTGCCTGGGGGATCACAGGGGTCACCAGCTGGGTCACCTCCTCTGATCTCCATAGGCCCAGCTATTCTGTGAAGCTGGAAGGAATTCGCTGATAATTCAGGTTAATCACTTGAGGAACAGAACATATTTCTTCACATAGTATGTAGTTCTGTTTGCTGGCAATTATTGCTGTATTTTTCCTGTTTGCTGGTAATTGTTGTAATTATTGTATTTTCATGTATACATCACTGTGGTACCCACTGATTTTGGGGAGATGCATATGAGTCCACGGGCTTCAAATGGTGATTTTCCAGCTTCTTTGAAGGACTTTGGAGTCATCTCCTTCTCACCTGCCCTCCATTTCCCCTTCTGTGTGACCATGATTCTAACAGATACAAGAACTGGAATTTATTTCTATTTAAAAGAGATTTTCATGCCTTGCTTTTTCTACCCTTATTTTCTATTGTTCTAGCTTCTAATTTCTCTAAAAAAGTGAACACTTTTCTTTCAATTTTCATTTCATATTTGCATTATTTTAATTTTCCTCATTTCATAGACTTTCCACTTAAGGTGCCTTTTTTTGCATTTCACTGTTGTAGTATAGCCAATTTCTTTTTTTCTATTATCTCTTGCCTGTTCTATTCTTTCTCTGTTTCTTTTCCCTCTCACTTTTCCTCAAGCTTTTGAGAAGTGCCAGTGTTCATTTCTAGTGCACTCTCTCAGCTGAGTACATTTCATGGAAAATGTAAAACATGCAGCTTGATCCTGTTTTTCCAGTTATGTGTTCCTGGGGTAACAAAGCCAAAGGAGTTCCTTTATTCTGCATTAGGTGCAAGGGGCATTTCATGGTCTAAATGACAAGCACAGACTTTGCAGGGGGTGCAGTGATAAGCTAAGTTAAGCTAAACTAAGCTTAACTAAGCCAAGCATGTAAAGCCTAACACCTAACACCCTCCCCTTTGAATTTTCAGGTTAAAAAATGAAATTTGGAGGTTGCATGAACTTTATGTGATTCTTCCTCGTCAGTTTGTTCAAGGTCAAATGCCATATTATTAGTAGCATTTCTATTTTTTACATCAAATGAATGTTGTTACTTTTGGGGTTGCTGCTGTCTTACATCAGAACTCTTTCACGCCTGATTAGGAATAATAGGAATATTTTAAACAGTCCAAAGGCTGGATCAGCAGCAGTGAGGTTTGGGGGTCAGCATTGCACTTGGTGTGGCTCTGCACTGAAGTTGTGGGTGTCTCTCCTCCTTACTTTTCAACTCATCTGCACTGCTCAAGTCTAATTAATCAGCCTTTGTGTGGGTGAAGTTATTTCTATACAAATGGTAGGAATACCCCCAGGGGTCTGTTCTTGCCAAGTTACATGAAGCATAACTCCTGCAGAAGTGTGAGCCTGGCTACCTCCCAAATACCTGAACTGAGAAAGAAATAGCAGCATTTATTATTATTTTTATTACAGAACTGACACACTCAGGCCACTGGGAGAAGAGACAGAGGCAGCAGCATGAAATATGTTGGGGTTTTAACCTAAGCAAGAGAGATAGAGGTACAGGGAAATTAAAAACAACATTTTTTTCCTTATCCTCCAAAAAGTAGTATATAGTACAAATGTGGTATCAAGTTTTCCTCACCACCACCTTTAAAATCATAGATTAGTGTGAGCTGAACACCCTGGGCTAACTGGTTCTGTTTGTATCAGACCTTCTCACATGAGGCCAATTTATATTCCATTGTCTTGCAGCTAGTGTATGGGGTAAGAGCAGGGGGCTCTTGGAGCTGTGCAGTCACCAGCAGAGGTGGAGCTCTCAGCCCTGCACAAGCTCCTCTGTGATGGTGACAAATGTCACATCCACGCTGACCCTGCCTTGGGATGCTGCCGAGGGAGGGAGCACAGCCCTTCGGCCAGGGGGCCAAGCTTTCCCTCATAATTACTCTTGGATTTAATGGCAGGTGATATTTTTGATGGAGTCGTGGTAGCCATGAATTGGGGCTGAAACAATAATGTGAGAAATGTGAGCTTTGCAGTCAATAGAAATCAATACAGCTTAGAAAGCTCACACAGAGTGCCAAGGGGGAAGTGCAAGCAGAAACCCAACTAAATCCATTGTCATAGCTACAAAACTAATAAGCCTTTCATGGCTGCTGTGCTTCCTCTGAGATCCAGACCAGAAGTTCTAAAGATCATTGCACAAGAATGCAGAAGTTTTGTGCATTTTCAGGTAGAGAATGATAAAATAGGCACGTTTTAAGTCCATGACTCGTAATGTAAAGCAAAGAACTTCTTAAACTCTTGCAAAAGAGTGCAAAAAATAACTTGGGTCAAGAGTAACTGGAAATGTGGTTCATCTTTCAGCTGCTGTGAATTTCTCACTGCTTTGAGTAAGGCACAAAACTTCCAGTGCTAGATAAGCAGGTGACCAGCAGAACCAGGTGAATCACGGCTCCAGAAAAAAGCACTCGCACAAGGGGAGCTCCAATTTCATGGTGCCCATGGAGTTCCTCCTCTTCCTTTCCACAGACTGTTAGTAAACTACTCATATATGCTGGGGTACTCTTGGGGAAAGCATTTTGTCTTAGTTTAGCTTCAAACTCCCACTTATTTTAGTTCTTCAGCTGCGGTTTCCTTCTCAGCGGGGCGGAGCAGCTCCCGCTGGCCGGCTCTGGAGGCAGGGCTTGGGATGCCCTGGGCCCACAGCACGTCCTGGATGTGGTCAGCTGCTTGCCCCTATTGCATTTCAGAGTAAAAGCAGAACATGACCTAAGACATTTCCATAATTGTTTTCTTTAATCACCCCTAATTCTTCTTTTTCAGAACTAAACCTGTCACAGCCAATGTGTGTGACATACATCATCCCTCCATGACTGGAATCCTAAATATCCTCTTACAATTCCTGCATGATGTATTCTCCTTGGT